AATAAAGGTTAGTAGATTCAGTCCTATAGCAGGGAACCCAAAGAAAATGCTAGTTAATCCTGAGGGACATGGAGGAGAGGATTTCTGGGTAGGCCAGCGCCCAGCTGACTGGGTCCCAGAATTATTATTTCTTTTTACTATTTTTTTTTTTTTTAGTTGTAGATGAACAAAAAGTATCTTTATTTATTTTTATGTGGTGCTGAGGATCGAACCCAGTGCCCTGCACACGTGAGACAAGTGTTTAACCACTGACCCAGCCCTGGGTCTCAGAATTTTTACAACCTTTGTTTGCCAGCCTCTGGTTTTTATTTATTTGGGGTGGGGGAATGGGGGGTGAGATTAGGGATTTAACCCAGAGACAGTTTACCACTATATCCTCAGCCCTTTTTAATTTTTAATTTTGAGACAGGATCACACTAAGTAGCTTAGAGTCCCACAGAATTGCCAAGGCTGACTCTGAACTTGCAATTCTCCTGTCTCACCCTCCTGAACCAGTGGAATTAGAGAAGTATACCACTGTGCCCAGTATGGCCTCTTATTTTAATTTAAACATCCTAGAGGCTACTTAAACCAAACAACAAAGTCTGCTTGAGGATTCCACTTGTTGTTTTCCCCTTTGCAAAGTGGTCTGCATTCAGGGTCAGGATTCCCAGGGCCACAAGACCAGGTTTGTTACCAAGAACTATTCCAACAGACTATCTGAGCTACTGAGTCCTACAAAGCCATGTGAGCTTACTCTGGATCTGGAATAAGTCCTCAAATCCCCAAGGCTTGATGGCTGAGCCCTTTCCATTTTGCAATTCTGAGCTGGTCATGCATTTGTCCAGTGAGCCCTAACCTGTTTTCCTAGACCCTTTAAATTAAGAGAGACCAAGGTATGGCCTGGGGTCAAGGTCAGAACCAAGATGCTAAAAGGGTAGAGACCCTGAGGCACCAATTGGCTGTTATCCTAACAAAAGTTGTGGGGGAGCCACCTTGAGTAACCACGCCTTCCAGTCCTGTTGCCAAGGGGACCTGAAAGATCTCTGTAGTCTGGCACTGTAGTGCCATGACTCGTGACTCAGTTGTCCCCCACCCCATAGTAAAGAGGTTCTCTTTGTGGGGCGTGCCTCTAGGGTTGAGTTACACTCACCTGTTCCCTTGTAGTCCTGCCCCTTCTGGTCTTTTTGGATAGAACTTTCTAAGAATAAGAATCTCCCCCAATAAAACCTCACTTTTGAAAGTGTTCCCTCTCTCTTGTCAGCCTCTCATGACTTTCTCTTGCTCTCCTTTTTGGGGAGCCTGAGGCCAAGAGCCAGGGAAGCCATCCTGAAGCTTGTGTAAAGGTAAGTTATGTCTGTGTTTTATTTTCTGTCCCTGCAGATTCACACAAGCGATCTTAATTCAGCTGCCTGCGCTGGTCAGGGGGGTGGCAAAAAGTTGCAGTAATCTGGAAGATTACTATAACCCCAGGTCTGGTAATTTATCAAATCCAGAAAACTACTTTCTTTTTTTGTTTTTGGTACCAGGAAGTGAACCTAGGGACATTTTACCACTAAACTACATTCATCCCCAGTCCTTTTTATTTTTTGAGACAGGGTCTTGCTAAGTTGCTGAGGCTGGCCTTGAACTTGTGAACCTCCTGCCTTAGGCTCCACAACTGCTAGTATTACAGGTGTGCACCACTGTACCCAGCCCAGAACAATACTTTCAAAGGAAAAGGACACTTTCAGAAGGACTCAAGCAAACTATAATAGGAGACAAATAATGTCCAAAGATTATTCCCTTTCTAATCATCAGGGACTTCAGCACCCTCTAGGCCACACATGGAGCTTCCTGATCTAAAGACAGTATACAGATTAAGATTTATAAAACTGTTTTCTATTTATGAGTCCTTCCTGCTCAGACTAGATGAAAAGTGTAATTTGGGGCACAACTATAACCAGAATGATCCTAAGTTGTCAGAAATGGGCCCTAGCCTGAGTCAAGGTACAACAAAAGGTTATGCCTTGTTTAGGGTGCTTTGGTTTCCTTAGTTTCTAAATTGCTCATGAGAGCTTTCTCACAATTTTGTGTATAAGCCCCATATAAGCATTCTTCAGAGGACAGATATATAGGTAAATAATTTCTAGAGATTTTTTTCAAGTGTGTCTACTTTGCTCTGTCCCCACCAGGTTTTGCCCTGGTGTTCACCAGCTGGGTACCCCTGAGAGTGTGAGTGTGCTCTGCCCTTCTGGCCCCATTGCCCAGGTGACAGCACTAATCCTTCTTCCTGGCAGGGTCAGAGTACGATCTGGAGGAGATTTGGGGGAATTACTTAAGTACTCTCTTGTTGCTTCTGTAATATGTATCACATTCAGTGCCAACAACTTGGAATATAGCAAGTTGATGGCACAAGCTATATTTGGTCAATAGTAGTATGGGACATGACTCCAAAAGCATGGGAAACATAAGCAAACAGACTAGAACAGTCTCAGTTTAAGTGTGTCAACATCCATTTTATCTGAACATTTATCATTAACTTCTCAGTGCTAGTGGCTGTTCTAGATAGACAATGGAAACAAAAAGATGAACGAAACAGAATCCATCAGCTGAGAGGGAATGATGCCAG